ACACACACACACACACAAACCCCAGGTGGACCAGAGCTCAGTCTTTATGCTAAAAAGCCAAATTCCAGCAGATTTGCATGAGGGACATGTGGTTTAAGTCTGCTTCCTGTTTCCCACAGTGCAACAGTGTTATATAATTCCTGCTCATTCTCCTGATATCAGCCTCCTGTTTACCCCTCACCCTCCGTCCCCCAAAATGCAGAGCTTACATTCCTAGGAATTTGCAGAAGATGCTGAGCGGCCTTCAGCGTCCTGCATGTTTCTGCTCTTAGTCACAAACACACAAAAAAACCTCAGCAAAGTCAGACACTTGTTACTGTCACTGAAATGTTGCAGGATGAGTCAGAGTTACAGAATGACTCCAGCACACTGTAAGAACTGACATTCCCTGCAGCAGCGATTAGCATCAAGCTGAAGTGAAAGTGAAATGTAGTCCCCACACTGGAACACGTCGATAATGAAACAGGTTCTGGATTAAGGTTCTTATGAAGCCTGTTCACTTAGTTTGCTGGGCGTGAATTACCAAGACATAGAGCTTTTCTTTTAATTAATATTTTGATAACAACAACAAAACATGCACAACAACGAAACAAAACAACACTAAAGATTAAGATTGTATCTTTATTTCAACACACAGCTTTATAAGCAACAGCTTAAAGACTGCGTGAAACCGAAAGCAGCAAAAACAGGCAGCTAGAGAGAGACTTGTTGGTAGTAAATAGTCCTGAATGTGTGCTACGTACGGCCGGACCGGGAGCTCCCAGTGAACAGCACGGCCAGACCGGGACCGAGTGCAGCATCTGATCCTGACGGAGGACAGTTACCCGACAGGGAATAAAGTGCTGAGGTGGTTAACGTTAGGTGCACTGGCAAACCAGCTAATGGCAGCTAACATTAGCGTTGGTGGCAGTTAGCTTATTTTAGCAACAAGTCCATATGGAAACTTGTCGTTGTCAAACTTTTACAAGTGATAAAGTTGTGTGTTTGTACAGTAATCAGTGAGTGATGAATCTTCGCTCTGTGTGGCTAAAAGTTGAAGATTGACGGATGAGTGTTCTGATATTATTGGTTGAAATCGGTTAGTTCATGCTGACGTTACTAGCGTCACATTTAGTTTTACAGGAAGACACAATGATTGGATTTTAATATAAAAATACAAAGAAACTACGGTTTTTTTGGCATATATATAATATATTGTTAAATATGGGTACAATATGTCTGAGGATGTGATCTTAAACAGATACAGACAAAAATCCTTACTGACTCAGTAAGTAAGTAAGTAAACACATATTATTTAGTCCGCAGCCGTTTAACAGCTTATTTTAGTCCCGCGACTTTTTACCGCGAGGCTAGTGTCACTGACGTTAAAGCCACAGAGAGAAGCTGTGGTCGTTATGACAAAAAATAAACGTTTTCACCCTTATCGCAAACACATGTACTATTACAAACATATAATCTGAGCACCATCAAACTCTCATACAGTGGCATATAGAATGAACGCTCTTCAGTTTCCCCACTAACACCATCTTTAGACAGACTGAGGGGACAAATTAGATTTTTTTTTATAGAAATAAAATTCTCTGCTGCTTGTTGAAAGACCATACAATCCTGTCTGTGCTTGATTAAGGTGATGGTGTATATATACAGGTGCTTCCTCACCATCACATCTCATATGAAAAGGCGGGAAGCTCCTTCATTGGGTTTACCTTTAAAGCTCTACTGCAAGAAATGTGACCTCTGCTCTCTGGTTATATTAAATCTGCAATGTCAGGTCTCAGGACTTTTTATCATTAGCTGTATATTTGCAATCACACTTAAATTAAATTATTTTCTGTCCATGTTTTAAATGCATATATTAAAACATTGTTGTACACAGGTACTTACTTGAATAAGTCACAGTCTGCAGTAGCCCAGAACGAACAAACAAAAAACGCTGCTATCACAGTCTCTACATACGGGGCGTTTGTTATCAAAAATAAGCCTTTTCTAATTTGTTTTAAGAATGTCACGAGAATCAATTCTTGCAGAGCGAACACCAGCTGGGTGCCGACGTCATTTGGTATCACGTTGGTTTTCGTCGTTAACGATGATTTTCTCACCCGCTAATGTCAAAATGGAATCGCAGATGAAACAAACGCGAGTTGTGTTTTTTGGGTGATTTTATAAAACTCTGAAGAAAGCAAACTGGTGTGTGTACATGTGGAAAAGAGCATCTTATGAATGTTTTCTTATGCACTTCCACACTTGATGCACTGCAAATGTTTTGTAATATTCCTGTGGAAAATGTTTAAAGTTTATTAAATAAAAGAAGGACAAGAGAACTGATGGGAAAAGCAAGGTGAGCAGATGAAGACCAAATGGAAGCTGGAAATGAAGAAGTAGTTTGAGTAAATAAGAAAACGTCTATCAGAAACTGTTGTTATTTTTTCTGCATGCATGTTTAGAAAAGTGCTTTCTTATGATTTGATTAAATACAGCTGACAGTTCACTCCACAGAGGCTGCTCAGGACCTTAAATACATAATTGACTCGTGAGACCGAATCAATAAATCCTCTCGGGGGCTCCGGACTCCAGAGGTCCCGCCTGAATCAAATCAACAACTGTGGAAACTTGCAGGCAAATAAATCAATGTGTTTTCCTGTGAAGGTAACGTGGACAGTCTCTGTGGCCTGTTCGCTCTCAGTACGCCTGTTTAATAACGCTGTTTTTTCCTGTGAGACTATTTTCTTTCCCTGCTGCTGCTGGACTTTGTAAGCACACAGACACACACACACACACACTCTCTCTCTCACACCCACACACTCTCTCTCTCTCTGTTGATGTCTGCATGCAGAAATAGATAAACTATTTTTACAGATCCTGCCGAGGTTAGTCATGAAGCCATTTAGAACTCAGCCGAACTGTAGTAGCAGAAGCTCAAACATGCACCCCCCCCCACACCCTTTTACCTCCCTCTTTTTCTTACCCTCTCCCACCTTTTTTCCTGCCCCAGCTTGCAGCTTCATTATACTATATTTTTATATAAATAATGATCTGTTTTACTGCATTTCCTTCCCAAAGGCAGCAGACACGTAGAGGTGAAAGCCTCACATAACAATAAGTGCA